CCCGGTGCTCCCTAGTGCTCCGCTCGCCGCTGCCGCCCGCGTGGCACGAAGGACCAAAGCCCCTTTTTAACCATGAGAGCCGCTGCCCTCGCTCAGGCCCCGGCACCGGAGCCGCTGCCGCTCGGCGCCGGCCGCCGCCGCGTGCCTGGATTGCGCCGGGAGCCGGTGGCTTCCGCTTCCCGTCGCCAGCGGGCTGAAAAAAACCCAAAATAGGATCCGCTGGCGTCAGTTGGAAGATAAATTCTTAGCAATATCCTATTCCCCCTCTCAAATTAGATACTCCCTTCTCATACAGAGCAATGTTTTTCTGCCGTTCCCATCTTTTTATATATTGAACGTATCACTGTCATCAGTAATCAAAAACACAAGTTGTTTGCAGCTTGTATCTTGCAGCAAGATGTTTCCAGCTGCCTCTTTATCTCTGAAACAATTCAAAATTGTATTTTTAATTATTAGCAAAGTGCTGCCTAAAAAAAATTTAAATGCTTCGTCATGCACTTTTAGAAAAATCCCCTTAAAGATATTTAAAGAGAAGTTCATTGCATTTTCTTCTGTGACATACTGGATTCAGAAGAGTTTTTTTTTAATATTGGATTTGCTTACTGCATTCATTACATGTAGAATAATATGAGTACACTGTTACATTAAAAATTGCTTGATGTAGAAGGGCTCTGCACTCCAGGGATTTCACATTATTGCAGCTTAAGTCACGATCAGGCATTTAGCTGGATGAGTGATTCATCCCAATCTGTTTTATAAAAAAAAAAAGAAAACAGAATTTGCTTCTAGCTGCTTGAAAACTAATGCATTCTAATTTCAGGATTGACAAGGGACTTTGTTAGACCCTTTCTGAGGGTTTGCTGGGGCAAACGAGGCCGGCGCGCGGCCTGCTTGGCTCGTGGCCTCAACACAGGGGGCTCCTGGGGACGTCTGTGCCGGCTGGGCTCACGTGGGAGAAACTCCGAGCGACTCCGGCCCTTTTCCTCAGGCCTCAGGAAGATCTTGATTCGGTTTTAGAGAACGTTGGGAAATGCAGAGGACGACAACCTGCGTTTCTTGTTGGAGGGAGGCGGCCGTGGAGGCAGCGCGGCCCGGGGCGGTTTCTGCGCTTGAGGCCTCTCGCCTGCGGTGTCCGCCCATAAAAAGGAAGGAGGGAGGCCGCGCTCGAGCAGGACAGCCTGATACGCACCGAGGTTCTGCCTGTTCTAATCGTTTTTGAGGCATTGCAGTAATTAAAACAAAGAAATGCTTCTTAAAAGTGTTCTGAATCATTCTGATGCAAAGTTGCTGGGAACAGAGAAGTGATCTCAGCTGGCAGGCTGTGGTGGGCCATGGGGTTGCGTTACTGTGGGGACAGTGAGGGGACAGCGGCCGGAGACGGCCCTGTTTGTACCTGGTGAGTGACGAGTGTTAGAAACGGGCTGCTCTGAGCGCTGCTCATCTTCTGTGTTGGATAAAGGAA